ATTGCTTGTAAATGTGCTGAATGTACTTATATTAATGAAAAGATTTTAACCGGGGAAATTGATGAGGCTGACTGACAAATGGCCAGGTTCAATCTATGAGCTGCACATTGAACAAAATGGCAAAAGAATACTCTTGTCGAACCAATACTTGAACACCATTGATTTTGCAGACAGACAGAAGTAACCATCATATGTTTGCAAAACCAGTTTTTCTTTTATATGAGAATACTCATCAAGATTATCTTTGACAACTTGTGATATTGTTGTGGCATTTCTTTTCATACTTACATCCACAAATTGTAATTGCCTCTCACAAATTTTATTTACTTTGTCAAACCGAGCAATAACACTTAACTGCTCTTGGTGGACACATCAGAGAGCATCTACTCGCCCTCGTAAGCTCAACTTATCACTGCAGTTCCTCGGGAGCAGCCTGGAAGGAAGCAGTGAGCTCACCCCTTAATCTCATCAGCCCCTCAAATAGCTTTTCTTGGTGCCCAGGTGACTCGACATTCTTACATAGCCATTCCTCATCCCCGCCGTTGACAGCACCGCTGTCGTCACACAGGCGGCAAACGAATTTCATAGCTTTGCCAGCCAACCACGCGATTATGCACCGCCGACCGTTAAAATGCTCGGCTAGATTCATGACGCTTATAGCGCCAGTTTGACATGCAAACACTCCATACCAGCGACGGCTATATCATACACAACATTTTATTCAAATACTGGTTTTCCTAACTCCATCCCTCGCAAACAACAGGCTGTAATTAAAGAGATTTTCACCGCAGTGATTTATTATGATCACAGCTTAAGTCTGTAGCTCCGGTATGGTGGGTGACGAAAACTGTCACACCAAGATGATACAACCGGGGATGCAACACAGTAAATGTCGCACTAAGTTTATGTCTAGTGTGAATCGCCATCCGCCACTTGACGATGAATTTTTCAGAGCTTCCATACGCCCGAGCTTATTCCTCCTCATGCCCTCTCGCACGTGCAGCGTCCAGCTGTGCTTCTAACTTCGCGTGAGTCCTTTACACCCCTTCTTCAACCCGGTATCGACAGTGCCTCTCTATCTTACGCTGCCTACTGCGAGCGTTGCCGGAAATACGTACCGATTACAGAAGATTTCAGAGATCTTAGCTCGCTTGCACACGGAAATGGAAGCCTACTAAACGCTCTAGAAAAGTACAAAAGACCTGTAAATGGGTTAGACGGCGCAGGCAACGCACTGTCTGTATCACTGTGGGCAGTGCTGTTAGCGGCGTGGGCGTACTGAGTACCATCGTCTTAACTCCTGTCGGGATCGCTCGAAGGCCTAGCAGCTGTTTGCGGCACTGCCACTATCGCTGGTCGGGTCGTGAGCCGCAGATTGGACAAGAAAGCTGGAAACACGATCGCATTCGGACGTCCGCTGAGACCGTGCTCCGAACAATCTCACTGATCACGAGCCGAGCGCTTCTGAGATGGTAACTGCAGGAAAGTGAGTACCACCTCGTTTTGGGCGTAGCAGAGCGCTATCTAAACTATCAAACCAACGGTAGCGCTTGTTGAAGAAAACCCTATAACGGCCCCGCGTCAATCTCTAATGCAGGGTCGAGACTGCATTACAACTTGCCCACTTCGAAAGTTGTTTCGACACGTTCACCTTCAGCCGTTAGCAGTGCTAATAACGAGCAGTGCCACAATAACGACGATACTCAAGTCGCTTGGCGGTCTGATTGGGCGAGAACAGCAGTGTACGGATGGGACGGTCAAAAGCGTATTCCCATACAGAGATCGAGCTTGGTAGATCTTGCTCGCCATCATGGAAGCGCGTTAAATCCGTCACAGGTCTCCTTGTTTGGAGCCAAACTCGACTGTTTGGGGTCATACACAAATCTAACGCCATGCTGATACGTCGTATAAGGGGAACTCAAGATAATACACCCTACAGGTACGTCTCATATTGTATCCAAACGTGCCCCGTCGGGTCGAGACTGCCCAAGCGATTGCGTTGTAGCAAGTGAGAAGAAAAGTGCCATCACCCCCAGAAGAGATGGAAGTTCCAACCCAAACCTCTCGCAGTTTACCGCTGCTCATATGATACCAGTCGTTTTCTGCCCGCTCAATCCAGAGACTCTGAATCTGTATCTTGCCATTCTTCAGATTTGCACCCTCCCAAACCGCGCCACCACAACGTCCTGTCGTACGAGATCCGGCAGTGTTCTTGTAACAATTCTCAGTAAACCACCCAAACGGTCATCAACGCCATGGAGGTCGAGCTTGTTTACCTTCAGCTGCGCGACACTTTGAGAGAGTGCCCTGACCCCGGCACCGCAAGAGCATGCTGTCTGATCTCCTGCAACTTCAACCTGAGACTTCAATAAATTATACTTGACCAATCTATGTAATTGTTTCAATTTAAAACAATCTATCCCACAGCCTTTGAGTACGAACAGCCTTTTCGGACGAACGTGAGCAAGGAGACGTTTCATGAAGAAGCTCTTGCCCATATTGCTCTGACCCAAGAGGGAAACAATCTGCCCCCATTTTTAAGTGAAGGCAGAAGTTAAACCACTCTTTTGTGAAATTCAAGCCCGGGGATAGCGGGGGATGTTGCCACCAGTGTTAGTATCGGCCGTACACTATACACGTGCTGAAATGGAGTCGGGACGACTGACACGGGGGCGGGGAATAACAGCCAAAATCCATTTCGGAAAGATATGCACCGCTCTAAATGTTTAGCGACTGTCCGGCGTGGGCGCTCGTCGGAGTCGAGGACGCCCCACAAGGCCTGGGAGATGCTGTTGCTGACGGGCTCATAGAAATGTGAAGCCGCCGCGCCGAAGCAAGGACATTGGGCGCCAAATTTCTGGCTGACGATTTCAACCCAAAATGGCCTTCGATTTTGCGCGGTTCGCTGCTCTTTTGCCCGTTTCTTTGTAGCATCCAGGAGCATGCCCTTGAATTCCTCCAAACTGCTCTTCTTCGCTCGCCCGTGGTCTTCCGTCATGTCCCTGCTGCTCTTCTAGGCGCTTCGACGCGCCCGTGTTCCGTCTTGTTGTCGACCTTGGCACTGCGCGTGTTCTTCGAATTGTTCCTGTCATCTTGCGAGTCTTTCCAACCTCGATCTTTTCGCACCGCTCGTCGTCTGCTCACGGGATGGCACATATTTCATGCGGTAGTCGTCGGAGGGGGAGACATGTTGCCGTTAAAAATGCCCGCGCCGAAGATACTGTCAACGACGTTGTCCACTAGCAAGATGAGCGTACTGAGGGCGAACGGGATAGCAGCATTCTTCGCGTAAGGGATTATTCTGTTCGCTCCCAACAGCCCCGCTGCCTAGTATAAGGAATGGATTATCCTTACCGAGCATTCACATCGAATGCCTCATGAAGGCCGAGCGAGCCCGATGACGGTTTGTTAGCTACGACAGCCTACCACATCTCCACAATGGGCAGTTTTGCATCAGCAACACGGACAACATCGACCCTCTCCATGATCCGGACGAAGGGGGGAACCACTGGCTAACTGTTTGTTGTACTGGAACGCATGTGCTTGTCTTCGATAGCTTTGGACGTGCGCTTGCTAAAATAGAGGAAGCATATACAGAGCCCCAGCTGCGCAAATATTTTCTGAACGCCTTTCCCGAGCGAGTCATGGTTACGAATACGTTTGCAGTGCAGAGTCGAGAAAGGGCTATCTGCAGGCGCCATGTTGTCCCAGCGGGGCGGCTGCTTGATTTTAGTCAAAGCCGTCGTTCCGACAAAGCATGGTCGCGTTTTTACCAAACGGACGGACGAAGTGTTGAGAATGTCTCGCAGAGGTGTACTACAGTCCTGCAGGTACTGGCACGGCCGTGCTGCTATCCCAAAGCTGGCTAAAGAGGTTGACGTCGGCGAGGATGTGGCTCTATGAATGGCTAACAAAACAGGCTATCTGGCAGATCTACTTGTCCGCACCTGCGCGAAGTGCTATCCCCCGAGCTAAGTTTGACATCAGCTACGAGGTCTACCGCTACGCCAAAGATGATGCCGATTGAATGTCGGCTTGGCGATAAGTTTGCGGAGTCTTTCGGTCTCGCTTGGCCGGAGCAGCTTCACATCAACACGTTTCGGAGGTTCTCCATCGTCTGCCGAAGACGCTGTTGATCAGCAGCTTGTAGAGGTTGACTTCTGTGTCACTCTTTGCCTTCTTCCGGAGTTTGGTGTTCTCTGCAGGGCTCCATCCATGGGTTTTGATCGAAGCGGAGCGCCCTGTGGATCTTTTCAGGCGCATGCCAAGCTGCAGATAGAGCTGCAGATTCCGATTGTGCAGGACGTATGGGTCTTGTCGCGCAGATTGGAACCAGCTTTTCGACCTCGTGAGACGCACCCCATACAAGTCTTTAAGGATACTTTGCTGGTAATCCGACATCCACATG